GGCAATTTCTGGCGCATAATGTGAGAATCGTGCCTCCATTCGTCGAAAGGCTAAAACTTGATTCATTTTTCGGGGTGCAATTTCTAGGATTCTAGGAGATTCCTACCTCCACCCCAGCAATACCAACTATAAGTGACTGCATTTACATGTTGTAGAAAATGTTTGTTTTGAAGGCCATGGCCGATCGGCAGTATTCTGGGTCTGCTAGCGCTTGCTGTTGCTGAGTCTGTTTAAAGTTGAGAGCTTTGCGATAGCAGCTTTGCTAATATTACGCCTGAAGCAGCTGTCGTCCTCATACATGTCAGGCATGCGGACCCCAAGCTATGTGATGTTGTTTACAGAAACTACGACTTTGCAAGGCCTTCTTCCGGCGTGCCAGCTGGGCGGCCCAGTTGCGTGAGGAGGCACGCCAGCCCCCCCGGCTTGTGGAAGCCTTCCATTCTTACATTGCAGGGTCCCTGAAGGTTTCCCAGAATATCAATTGGATGACATACACATGTATGCGCAAGCCTCGCAAGCCACGATTGAGGAAGCAAGAAGCAGCGTGCTCTTCTTCCAGGGAAACGTCAAAGGATTGCTGTTCTGGAAAACAAGCGCCAAGTGCGCGGCGCATTGACATAGGGTTGACAAGGTGTTTGTGGTCAGAGCGGTCCAGCAGCATGCAGTACACACGCGAACATGGAAAACCAACACTAAACGCTCGAGGATTATCTTCCCTTGTGCTATCGCCACCTAGCTGGAAGCTAAATTCTTGCCCATCCGGCTTGCGCATGCCTTGTTCGGAATCAGCGATTGAATCCCTATCGCTATCGCGGTCCCTGTATAACTAACAGCATAACTCCTGTGCTGGTTCCTTCCCCCCATCCCTAACTAAGCATGAGTAAGGCACCTCGCTAATCTCCTCCCCAATCTCGGCATCCCCGGCTGCAGCTATGAGATCTGCAACGGAGGTGGACTCCTGTCCCACAGCTTGGATGCAGAAACTGCAGACTTTCTGCTTCTAGAAATGCTGTGACAGAGCGTAGCGGCTAAGCTTAGGATTCAGGTGGCACAACAGAGCAGCAGCAGCAGGAGGCTAGCAGCAGCAGCAGCAGAAGTCGGAGCAGGAAGAGGAATAGGAATTGGAGCAGGAACGGGAGGAGGAATAAGAGCAGCAGGAGTAAGGACGGCCCTGCCTTTAAACCTTGCGGTGCCGAGCTGTGTTTACAAACTTCAAGTATTCAATTGAGCAAGAGGAACCCAAATCCACTGATTCTGTGGAAAGTCAATGCCACAGTAGATCCCATCCCGGGCCATGCTGTGGCAGTCCGGGTCCATCCCAGCTTCGCGCATGGCCTGCGCAATGACACTCTCCCCGAGGTCGAGGTCCTGTGTGTGGCAAGCGTTGCGAAGCTCAGAGAGAGGGTCACACTTTCGAAATTGTGTGCTCGGCTGGCGCCAGAGAAATGGAGCAGGGCAAATATCAGGCGAGAGCCCGAGCAGAAAACTTAGTTTCCTGTCAACATGTGAGGAAAATGATTGCCAAAAGGCCTCAAGGTTCAGGACCGCTTGTTGCAGCATTTGGCTTGGTCTATGCATGGAGCCAAGCCGGGGTCTCCCACAAAAAGGAGCAACGATTATGGAAAACAAATAAACTAAATCAGGGAGCCAATATAAACCCAAACATACGCTCGTCCTTTTTCGAGAATCCCCAAAACAAAGCCCTTATTTTCTGGAACTCAAACGCTGCATGCGCCAACACCTATGTAACCCTATATAACCCCTACATACCTTTAAACTGGGTTGCTGTTAAGGAACTTAAATTAAGTTACTATAGTGGGGAAACCCTATTATTTACTATATATACCCATTATGGTAACTTAATTTAAGTTCCTTAGCAGCAATGCAGTAAAGCGACCCCATTTTTTTTTGGAATCCAGGATATGTCGGGACCTCCACCGGCTGTGCTGGCGGAGACTCCACGTCAGGCTCCGGCGCGCCCTTTGGGCTTGCCATATGGGGATTTCCCAAATTTAGGGGTACCTACTATAATATAGGGGTTATATAGGGATAATGGAAAAGAAAATGGAATCTACTATTTGGGTTATATAGGGGCTATATAGTAATAATGGAAAAGAAAATGGAAACTACTATGATGGTTATATTGGGGTAATATTAGGGTTTAAGGTTTTGTTAGGGAGTCATATGAGCTATAGTCTAAACTCCTCCAAGGAGGGTTATATAGGGGATTATATAGGGGACTACCTTAGGAGATATTAAGGGGGATACTAGGAGTTTAGATTATAGCTCATATTAGTTTGCCAGGACACAAAAAATACATGCACCTATTTTATATACGTGCGCCTGTTCTATACGTGCACACTTTTAGCCATATATATATATATATATTTATGTATATGAATACCTATATGTGTGTGTCTCTTTATCTATATATACATATGAGGCTTATATCAGAGTAAGGAATGGAACAAGGAGACTACAATAAATCTTTCGAATGCCATGCGGACATTGCGCAGAACGACACATCACCGCAATCCTAGGCACCAGGACAACCACAAGTGGAGACCAATAGCTGGGAGGGGTGCATTCTCCCCACACGCTTGCCCTTCGGTCAAACAGTGAGAACAGTTGAAAGTGTATTCAGAGTGTGATGAAGTGATGTGGTTGGGTAGCAACCATCTGGAGCGAGTGTGAGCAGGGTCTCAAAAAGCACTAGGCCAGAAAGGCAAGCAAAGTGCAATGCAGACTGCTGTGTCTACCAGAGTTGGGAATATACACGAGAAAACACCGGTTGAGCGGTTGTGTGGGCTAAGCCTTCACTTGTGGAATCAGCCTTCACATTCGTGACCGTTCCGGCCACGCGCATTATGTTTACTAGCTTGCTACCTGCTTCTAGGGAAAAATCAGTGACCCTCAATGCTTCTGCCAGCACACTTTCGTAAGCCTACTCCTTCCACAGTCAGCCGGGCTACAGCTTGTTCGACAGCTACCACATCTGTCTTTGGCTGTGACGGAGAGGATGCTGAGGCAGCAGTAGGTGGTGGGTTAGGGCTGGAAGATAGCAGCGCCACCATCTTCTCATTCCACAGCTCCTCAGCATTCTGCAAAGACACCTCAAAAATTCAGTCCGAACCAAACCTGCTTGCAGCACGCACGAGCCCACAAGACAGCATTACTGGAACTGCACCCGGGCGCCTTCTCTCGCTCCATTTCCTCAGCTTGAGCTCAAGATCTAGCAACTAGACCAACTAGGCCCTATGAGGACATGGTCGGTGTCTTTTGCCACGGAGTCACGTCCATGATGTCATGGAAACCTTGGTGAAACTACTCTACCATGCCAATAGGAGTGTTGGCCTGCCACCTGCACATGCTGTCAGGGAGCTGTTGCGCCGCGTTTCCTCTTGGCCCAGAGCATCACTCAGCAAGTCCAGGATGGCCTCAGGAAGCATGAAAATGCTCAACTGGGATGGCAGAGACAGGCTTAGGCTCTGGCAGGGCTTGGACAGCTTGGGATATCCAAAGAGGGGGCTGCTCCGATCTCAGGGGATGGAGCACGGTGCGGGGATGGTGCACGGCCCTGCAGCGGTTTGCTGGTCTGGGCAAGCTTGCGGCTGGCTTCAGACTTGGCACCCAGCTCCTTTGCAGGAGCGCCGGCAATGGTGCGAGCGTGTTGCGAGGTGCTCCGATCCCGTTCTCGGCCAGAATGCCGTGAGGACGACATACTGCTTCCACTGGCACCCAGCTCCGGACTCTGCCGGTATCTTTCCCTGGCTGTCAAAGGCACGGGTGGCAAGCCTGGGCTGAAATGCTTTTCGTCAGAAAGTCTAGTAGTCTACTTGACGTGTTTTGAACCCATGCTAGGCCAGTGGCGTTTCGTGGGAAACGCTTCCACTGCCAGGTTCCACAGAGACATCTACTTGACATGCTGCAAGAATTGAATCTTCTCCAGGAAACTTGTGGAGCCACCCTTCTGCCTCGGTGTTTGGGATCCTTGCTTCTCAGTCGGTATGCGCCGCCCGGTACTCCGCGTTGGGAGATCCGCTGGGGGGCGAGGCGCAAAGCAGGAGGCTGGAGGAGCCACCTCTCAGCAACACCACTTGGCACCCGGAACACAGGACACTCAAATACATGGAAGTATGTTCGATCCTAAAACCTTCAAAGAGGATGGGCCGACCACAGGACCTCTCTGTCCAACGTCAACCAGTTGCGTTGAATCATGTTGAACCATTGGATTGACAAGTAGGCTGAAGCCTACCAACCAGTGCCTGACACCCTGTGCACCTCCGGATAGGCACCACCCGTACTGGTCTGGTCAGAGGTGGGGCTGTCCAGTGCAGTTTCGTGGCAACCTTGCTTCTGCGGATACCAGGTAGAAACCACCTATGAGAACCTCAAAGCTTTGAACAAATTGCAGGCTTCATTAATCAGGACAGCTTCCTGACCTGTGTAGGTCCAAGTGGCTTCCAACTCTTCGCACACCAGGGGCCGCTGGAGGTCGCGAACGCGGCGTGAGCTTGCCATCACCTTCGTTTCCGATTCAGGCCAAGCTCTCGATCGCAGAAGGGGAAGCGGGAGAACCCTGAGCACCCGGCACTTGCGAAGCTCCGGGAGCTCCTCACTACGCTCGCCGCGCTGGAGGTCCAAGGGCGACATGGGTGCGCAGCTCCCAACCCTAAGATGATGCTCTTGCTGCTAGTCTGTGGCTAGGTGGGCTTGCAAGGTGGCAAGAGTGTGCGACTGGCTCCAAGTCATGTTGGGCTGTCTGGGCGGCAAGTCTTCTTTGCACTTTACCTCCTCAGACATTGTTACAAGTGCTGAGCCGAAATCTAAGCCGGAACATTCGACACCATGGCAATATAGTCTTGCGATGGACATGGTCCATGTATATAGCCTTTTTTAAGAAGAAACTTGACATATGGAGCCTTGCCTACCCAAGGAGCCTGCCAGCAGCCCACAATCCCGTCCTCACCCAACACATCCCAAGACCCTTGGTTCGCCACGCAGCCGTGCTACTGGCCGTTGCGACCTTGCAGGCTTTCTGCAGGAAGTCTTTTATCAGCATGGACAGGGGCTTCAGCTTATCCCTTCAGACACTGCTTGGAGTCCACTAGTCTTTGGAACCCAAGATCCTGTAGCCATCAGGCCGCGAAAGAAAGCCCGCCTGCGGCGTAATTTCGGGCAATGCCGAAATGAAGGGCACTGGAGCATCAATGATGGCTTCCTGGCGAAAAGAACTAACTTGCAACAGTCAATCCTGATCGTGAGTGACCCCCAAGCCAGTTGACAGTTGCAATCATATGTGAAAGTTGGTGTTCAATGAATTCCCTGTCAATACTTTTCCTACTGCAACTGCTGCAGCATATGCTGCCTCCACCACGCATGACCTACTATGTCCATCTATTCAGCCAAGATCGCATTTGGAGGTGCCTGAAGGTAGGCTGGGCAGATGGGGAGAAGTAAGTGCTGCCAGCCTGCAGACGGGGCTGAGCCCATACAAAGGAAACAGTGGAAGCAGAAGAAACTGAGAGCCAGAACCAAGTGAAAGCTAACAGCATGCACTCATCATAGGAAGAGTGGCGTAAAAAGCTCTGGCGAGTCAAGCCATTTGCACAGGTACCAGAGACACCCCTTTGTGCCGAGTAAGTGCGATGATTCTCAGCAGCCTCTCTTTCAGAGCAGGTTCCGACGCAGAACGGAGGAGACCATTAACTTGAGCTGACTTCCAGGCCAATCATGACATCGCTGAGATTCGCTGAGCGGCTGAATGGCCATAACAACGAGCTCAGGCCTTGGCTGCTGCAGGGCTCTGAGTCCATCGCTGCGAGCATTCCTACCCCTCACCACAATCACACTGGGGGGGGGGGGGGGGGATTCAGATTGCCAACTTCAAGCCTGTTTGCGGTTCGCACGCCCCTTGTCCACTCTGTGAGTTCGTGCCGGTACCTTTGACCCTTGGAACTAGTCTCATGCTTTACCAGCCGTACAAGTACTACCACATGTCTGTCCTGAAGCCACTTGGTCCCAGGCGCCGTCTCTGCATCCTCGCAGTGACAGACTTAGACCCCTTGCTGCCAGGCGGCCGAGGACCAACTTCGAGCCCAACTCAGCTGACTCGGAGACCTAGTGCCAGCAGGGATCATGAATCGTATGCTTTGAGGGCCATAGAGTTATTCATAGAGCCTAAAGCCCGCGCATCGCGCTACCCGGCATGGCAAACATCCCATTTCCCAAAACCGGATCCTGAGGGATGATGGTGCTTTGGGCGTTGGATATGTAGGGGGAACAGCGAGGTAGAAACATGGCAGCAGCACCACCACAACGCGCAATTCCAGAAGAAGTGCCAGAACTATCTCCAGGACAGCCTGGCAGGTTTAGGCTTCTTATTGCGGGCAAGGGTAGCAATCTTCATTTCCTGGCTCCCACTGGAGATCCCCATGTGTAGGAAGGTTGGAATGTAGCGCGTGCGCCAACTTGTTGAGGATTCAGCTGAGCTGATGAGCTTGAGTTTGCGTCAGGCTGCTTCCACGGCTGTGGGGTCATGGGGTCATGGCCCTGGTCAAGGACGTTGTCACTGGACTCAAGAATTGCACATGGATCACGTTCCCCAGTTTTCGTGAGTCAGGGTCCATCCTACGCTTCTCACGTCTAACTAACGCCTGCAACTGAAAACACAACAGAAACCTTCCAAGCCAAAGCATCTGGCTGGATGGGCAGGAGGCCTGGAGCGTGAAGCATCTGAAGAGATCGACCGCAGCCCACCTCGCTTGTTCCAAGCGGCTATGTCCAAATTAGAGTACTTTCGTGATTATGGGGGAGATGCGCTACTGACCGGAAAAGTCTTGAGAGGGGACTGTTGTG